CAAAATAGATCGTTATGGTATAGTGGTTTCTTGAATAAACTTCCATTTTTAATTTTCTGCAACTTCCATTTTTATTTTTATTCAACTTCAATTTTTATTCAACTTCCTTTTTTATTTAATTTCCAAATAGATGGTTAAGATATAGTGGTTTCTTGATTGAACTTCCATTTTTAATTTTTTGCAACTTCCATTTTTATTTTTATTTGACTTGCATTTTTATTCAAGTTATTTTTCTATTCAACTTCCTTTTTTATTTAATATCTAAATAGATGGTTAAGGTATATTGGTTTCTTAAATGAACTTCCAATTTTAATTTTCTGCAACTTCCATTTTTATTTTTATTCAACTTCTTTTTTTATTCAAGTTTCTTTTCTATTCAACATACTTTTTTATTTAATTTCCAAAAAGATCGTTAAGGTATAGTGGTTTCTGGACTGAACTTCCATTTATAATTTTATGCTACTTTCATTTTTATTTTTACTCAACTTCCATTTTTATTCATTTTACTATTCTATTCAACTTCCTTTTTTATTTAATTTCCAAATATATCGTTAATGTATAGTGGTTTCTTGAATGAACTTCCATTTTTAATTTTCTGCAACTTCTATTTTTATTTTTATTCAACTTCTATTTTTATTCAAGTTATTTTTCTATTCAACTTCCTTTTTTGTTTAATTAGATCGTTAAGGTATATTGGTTTCTTGAATGAACTTCGATTTTTAATTTTCTGCAACTTCCATTTTTATTTTTGTTCAACTTCGTGTTTTATTCAAGTTTCTTTTCTATTCAACTTCCTTTTTTATTTAATTTCCAAATAGATCGTTAAGGTATACTGGTTTCTGGAATGAACTTCCATTTTTAATTTCAAGCAACCTTCATTTTTATTTTTCTTCAACTTCCATTTTTATTCAATCTACTTTTCTATTCAACTTGCTTTTTTATTTAATTTCCAAATAGATCATTAAGGTATAGTGGTTTCTTGAATGAACTTCCATTTTTAATTTTCTGCAACTTCCATTTTTATTTTTATTCAACTTCTATTTTTATTCAAGTTATTTTTCTATTCAACTTCTTTTTTTATTTCATTTCCAAATAGATCGTTAAGGTATATTGGTTTCTTGAATGAACTTCCATTTTTAATTTTCTGTAACTTCCATTTTTATTTTTGTTCAACTTCCTTTTTTATTCAAGTTTCTTCTCTATTCAACTTCCTTTTTTTTTTAATTTCCAAATAGATCGCTAAGGTAAAATGGTTTCTGGAATGAACTTCCATTTTTAATTTTATGCAAATTTCATTTTTATTTTTATTCAACTTCCATTTTTATTCAAGTTATTTTTCTATTCAACTTCTTTTTTTATTTCATTTCCAAATAGATCGTTAAGGTATATTGGTTTCTTGAATGAACTTCCATTTTTAATTTTCTGCAACTTCCATTTTTATTTTTGTTCAACTTCCTTTTTTATTCAAGTTTCTTTTCTATTCAACTTCCTTTTTTATTTAATTTCCAAATAGATTGTTAAGGTAAAATGGTTTCTTGATTGAACTTCCATTTTTAATTTTATGCAACTTTCATTTTTATTTTTATTCAACTTCTATTTTTATTCAAGTTATTTTTCTATTCAACTTCCTTTTTTTATTTAATTTCCAAATAGATCGTTAAGGTATAGTGGTTTCTTGAATGAACTTCCATTTTTAATTTTCTGCTACTTCCATTTTTATTTTTATTCAACTTCCTTTTTTATTCAAGTTATTTTTTTATTCAACTTTCTTTTTTATTTAATTTCCAAATAGATCGTTAAGGTATAGTGATTTCTTGAATGAACTTCTATAGCGATCCCGGTTTCCCTTTTCTTTCATTGTTGTATCCGGACTTAGGTTTCGTAGAGTTGGTTGTTGTGTATACCTTATTCACATCCTTCCTTACTTCATATATGAGTTATAGGATGTGTTGGGCAGGTTTGTTACCGGTTGGTTGAGGTTTAGAAACCAAAACTAGTTGCCCAGATTTTGACCTGTCCGCTCGAGCGGGGAGTTTGACGCTCGAGCGGGGATCCTTTTGTTGCTTGTCCGCTCGAGCGGCGGTTTTGGCGCTCGAGCGGGAAAAACACCCATCCAGTATCTCCTTTGTAGTGTTGTACGCTCGAGCGACGGTTGTGACGCTCGAGTGGGAGTGTGTGAGTGCCGCTCGAGCGGGGAGTTGGACGCTCGAGCGGGAGACCTGTCTGCAAAAGTGCTGGGAGTGTGCATCCGCCGCTCGAGCGGGAATTTGGCCGCTCGAGTGGGAGTCTGTGAGTGACGCTCAAGCGGGGGTTTGGCCGCTCAAGCGGGGCGACTGGGTTAAAGCTCCGTGTTTTGACTTTTTAAATCAGAGTCTGTGAGTGACGTTCGAGCGGGGGTTTCCACGCTTGAGCGGGGCGACTTATATATCACACCGAGTTTCACCTTCTTGGATCACTTTTTGATTTCCTTTCTCTCTCTTACTTTTCCGAAAAAGCCATTGGAGAGCACCTCACTCTAAAACCTAACTTCTCTCCTAGGTTTGATCTAGTAGGATTGATTTCCTCACCTTGGGTCTTTACAAAAGTTGTGTTGATCGTCGAGGCTACGTTTTGATACGAGAATATTGACTTTTGGAGCACTTTTAGTTTCGTTATCTTCTTCCTTTAGGCTCCGAATTTGAGGTAGAGATTCCTACTCATTCTTATAGTCTTTGACATAGATTTTTGGTTGTTTTGATAAAGTGTGGAAGTTGGGAAATTTTGGGACTTAGGGTTTCAAAATGTTAAAAGAGGATTTTGTTATTTTGATTCTAAAATGTGTAATTTGGGTTCCAAAATAATGATATAGTTGTTGGTAGTGGATATATAGACCATTGGGTTGATATTGGGAATTAGAGTAGAAAACCCTTAATTGTTGTAGAAATTAATTAGTATAATTAATTTGGGAAAATTGTGGTCATATGAAATTGAGTTGGAAATAATGAAATAGATTCATTATATTGTGAAATGGTGGAGTTTGATTTATTAATCGCTCACTTTTGAAAAAATTGATATTTTATCTGTTGGAGCTTTTATTATCTGTTTAGAAATAATTGTTTGGGTTACCCGTGGAGGGTAGTTTTGATTGTTGTAGATAATGCATGATGATTAGGGTGAAGATACAGCTCATAGGCTTATCTTTGAGAAGTGTAGATATAGCTCATATGCTTGTCTAGTGAAGTGTAGATACAGCTCATATGCTTGTCTAGAGAAGTGAAGATACAGCTCATAGGCTTATCTTTGAGAAGTGTAGATACAGCTCATATGCTTGTCTAGTGAAGTGTGGATACAGCTTATATGCTTATCTGTTGATGCGTAATATGTTTATCTGTTGATGTGTTGATATAGCTAGTACGCTTATCTAATATGAATTGGGAAGAAGTTTAATATGAGTTACTGTCTCATATAAGTTGTTTGGCCAGGTTCTAAGCCATGGTTATAAATTCAGAATTGAAAAGAATTGGAAAATGGATTGTAACATGGACTTGTATGTCATGAAACCGTAAAGTGTGATAAGGGAAAGTATCAGTGTTGGCCGTCTATCAACTGCTAATCTTTTAGTCATTGGTCATATTTGGTTTAGTGTATTTCTACTGGGCTGTGGCTCACCCTATATGGAAATATCATTTTCAGGTGCAGGTAGCATGCCACCTCCAAGGACGTAGCTTGGGAGGCTAGAGGCGGGCAGACTTTTGTTGTTTAGTTTTTTTGATGTATTACATGTATATTCAAGCCAAGGGCTTAATGTGTAAATGAGTTAGCACTCTTTTGTTGTAACCAAGTGTTAACTTGGAAAGCTGTAAGCCTTTAGGACATTTGCTTTTGTCGTTAACATGTAATACTTTTTGGTAATGAAACTCTGATGAATAGAAGAATGTGGAGTTTTTTTTTATATCAATGCATGTCTATATTGATGGGTTTAATGTTATTATTTTGAGGGCGTTACAATTTGGTATCAGAGCGTATCGAGTTCGAATACTTTGGGTACGTGGGAAGTGATTAGTATCACAATGGGTTTGTCTCACTTGATAGAGACTTAGGTGTAGTGTCATATGGTATGTGTTTAAATTGATAACATGCTTATGTGTTTATATGGGTATGGGATTTTATTTCTAGGATGTTGATTGGATCCTTGGGTTACTGGGAGTCTTGTTGGAAAGGCACTTGATCAATGCCGTTTCTAACCGGAACTCTAGTAACGCCTCGGGACTATCATTATCCGGAAATGAAATTCGTAAGTGCTTATGTGTTTATGTGCTTACGTGGAGTGAATTACATTTGTCCATGCATTAGGACGTGAGTGTTTAGTTTTGGCACATTTGTGAATATGCTAACGTTCTGTATTACCTTTATTAGGATGTCAGGATGAGGAAGAGGTGCTAGGCGTAGTAGGCCTGTGAGGCAGGAAGTACCTTTACCGGATGATATTCCGGCAATGCAGGAGGGAGTTTGTCACGCCCCCAAACCGCCCCTAGTAGTTTGGAGCCGTGATGGCCAGTAATCCGTAATTACCAAAGGCCAACTTACAAGAATTACACACAATCAGAGTATTTAAATAGGGGGCTTACAAGTGCGGAAGCAATAATTCAAGATACAAGTGGTCCATAAGAGCAGTGCATAAGTCAAATGAAATGACATACATCTTTATAGAGTCTTACAACTTAATTACAATAAGGAAATGAGGTACAAAACACATCTTGACCAAAAGGCTTCTCAGGCCGACATATGTCAAAACAAACAAAAGAAAACATAAGCCGAGAAGCATAATCTTCAAGACGATGCAAAACACAAATCCAAAACATGTCGGCTATATAAGTAAGACAATTCTTGCTCAAAGATTGTATAATGGTTAGTCATGGTCTGAGTTGTACAGCTAGAAAGGTCTTTGTTTTTGTTTTTGTTTTTGTGAGAACTAGTTGTCGGACAACTCCTTTTACAATAACAGCAAATGCAAGCAAAACTATTTGAGAGCTGGTACACCAGATGTATTATTTGATAAGCTGTAAGAGTAGATAGATGATCACACAATCGTTCCTATTCTGATTAACTGAAACAAGATTTTTACTATAAATACAAAACTGATTAAAAAAATTCTAACACGAGCAATACTAATTTGATTATCTCACTCAGATTCAGAAATGACTTCTAACTTGCTGTCAAAAGACTTTTCACCTGCAGCAGTTCTGGGATTTGTGGTGGTAAATGGATTGGGGGGCATGACCAGAGTGTCTTCATCTCCTTCTAGCATTTGAACCACAACTGTCATCGAAGGCCGGTCTCCTGGGTACCACTGAATGCACCAAAGTCCCACAATTGTTATTTTCTTCACAATCTTAGCATCTCCATCTTCCTCAACCACAATCCCCTGTTCATGATTTAAACGGTCATAGATCCATTCAGGGAAGTAAACTTCGCTGGTATTCTGTGTTGTAACATAGGTATTCTTCCTCCCTCCAACCATTTCAAGCAACAACATTCCAAAACTGTAGACATCTGATTTGTATGATACGTTCCCGAAGTTCCTTGAGAACACTTCAGGTGCAATATAGCCTACGGTGCCCCTAGCAGCAGTCATGGAAACAGCACTTTGTTCTTTCGAACACAACTTGGCTAGACCAAAATCAGAAATCTTAGGATTGAAGTTGTGGTCCAACAAGATGTTATGAGGTTTAATATCGAAATGAAGGATTCGTTGATCACACCCTTGATGAAGATATTCAATACCTTTGGCTATCCCAAGAGCAATACCTTGCAGCCTCTCCCAACCAAGTGAACATTTTTCCTGATTGGATGATATAAACTTCTCTAGCGAATCATTTGGCAAGTACTCGTAAACGAGAGCTCTTTTAAATCCATCAGCACAGTATCCGACCAAGCGAACCACGTTGATGTGGTGAATTCTGCCTATTGTTCCAACTTCGTTGATGAAGTCGTCCCCATTCCCCTTGACATCGTTGAGGATCTTGGCTGCAATGTGAACGTCATTGGAAAACTTTCCCTTGTACACTGTTCCATAACCTCCTTGGCCTAGTTTTTCCTTAAAATTATCAGTAATTTTCTTAATCTCTGCATAAGTGTATCTTGTAGGCTTGAGAGCTCTGTAATCCTCCAAAAATCTTTCAATTTTCATTTGATCCTCTTTCTTTGATTTATTTGATCTGTGGACAAGATATACTGTTACCATGACTACAAGAAGAAGAAACAAGCCGGAAGGGATCACACCTGCAAATTTAAACAACCAAATTAGGAGGGAAGACTCCTCTAGAAAAATCAAGGGAAGAGGCATATAGAAAATTCACCTTTAAGAACTGGGCTTGGGCTTTTTGTTTCACCTGTAAAAGACAGACAAGATCAAACAGTTTGTCATTCATAAAATTATATAATTTATTTGCTATAGGTTTTCAGGATGAAAGCTCTTTCATTTGTCAGCAAGTGTCATAGTTTGTGGAGAGATCTGATGGTTACTCCAATGAGTCACATGACAGCGAAAATCACCTAATTAATTTGTAGGCCTATGTGACTCCTAGGACTCTGTTTGGATCATGATTTTGGAAATAGAAATGGGAAAGGTGAGGAAGATGTGAATGAAATACAACCTAAATTTTTTTATTTTTCTTTTTCAAATTTCTATCCAAAATCCTTGATACTGAAAGTAAAACACGGGGAAAACTAGTCGTAGAGGGACAGAGGAGTACCTGTAGCTTGTTTGCCAAGTGAAGGAGTATCCGTAATATTATTGTGAGAACATTCAGTTTCATCATGTTTTCTGCTGCTGCTGTTATTCCTCCTCCTCAATCTACAATACTTGCCTATTTCTTCACACCTCCTACATATGGGCTTGGACCAACTCAATCGAAGTTCATTAGTATATAGAGGGGGATCTATTGATGTTATGGTATATAACTTTCTGCAAGATAATAGGAACTGCTGGATTAAAAAATCATCAGGTACCGCATAGACGACGTGACCTTGGCTGCTGTTATGGCAATTATTTGTGATTGGATACATTGAATTACTGAAATATGCATTTTCTTTGTTATACCAATCCAAAGGGTAGGTTTGCTTTGTTGAGAAGGGACAACTGAAAAGGCTAAACTTACGTCGGTAATGTGGTAAAAATTCGAAGAGAGAGGGTTGGTAAAGTGGTGAAAATTTGACGGGAAAGGGTAGGTAAAGTGGAGAAAATTTGAAGGGAGTGGCCGATAAATTGTGGTTTAGATTTAGGAGAAGTTGTTCGAGAAAGCAATCACTGGGGTCATGTATATATAACGACTGGTCTATGTAATCGATTCGCATGACGAATACCTTGGCAGTCCCAAAAAATGGGAGGTCAAGCAGGGTATCTTTGGTTGGGGAGCAGGATAGTTGAAATCCAGGATACCCACAGTGATTTGGCTGATGGTCCTTTAGCCAGAATGGGAACCGGATGTCTGGGCCGTCATCCCCACACCTTGTCACCGCGCATTCATCTGAATCTCGTGGTCGTGGTTGTGGTGCTCCTCCAACTCCAAGAAATCCTGCGGCCAATACTACTGCTTGGAGTTGGAACAAGAAGAGAAAAACAGAGAACAAGAGGAAGAAGAAGAACATCATGGCCATTTCCAATTTTAATTTCCTTTGTGGAGTTCCAAATTCAATGCCTCGTCCTCATCCTCATCCTGTCTTTCTATATTGATGCTAATTGCTCGCTTGACTTCAAGTCCTCATCTTCATCTTCTCTCTCTCTCTCTCTCTGTGTATTGATGCTAATTGCTTGCTTGACTTCAAGTCAAACCTACGTACACGGCAAAGCGCTGTGACGAAAAAAAAAAAATCAAACAAAACCGTGTAGTTTTGAAGTTTAACCCACTTCGTTGCAATTACTTGGTTAGTATCTATAGTTTTCAATGAAAGACTTGGACTTTTCAGGCAACGACTTACTTTACTAGCCCAAATCACATTCCAGTGATAATATTATAATGTGGACCTTGAACTTATTATTATCCACAGCAAAGGGACTTGGGCATATCTGATACCATCGCCTTTCCCTTCCATCATCCATCAATGTCTTGGCTTCTTTCCTCCATTCTTCTTCTTCCTCTTCTTCTTCTTCATGTCCTGTTTTTAGTAAATTGCGATGCTTTAAGAAGTGATGGGAACTGTAATTCTTCTTGTGGGAACATTCAAAACATCAAATACCCATTTCGATTTGAAGGTGATCCAGAAAATTGCGGAAAAAAGATATATGAACTGGCCTGCCACAACAATCGTCCAGTGCTTAACTTATTCTCCAGCGGTAAATACTACTACGTGAAGGCAATCAACTACAACAACTACACAATCCGAGTCGTGGATGTGGGCATTCAAAACGGAGAGTGCTTCTCCCTCCCTCTTTATTCTTTAACCTCTGGAGACTTTGGTAGTGATCGTAATCCATATTATTATTATCATCCATCTAGTCCATATGAGTTCCAACGGGAGTTTACCCTTGATGCTGTAGCAGTGTTGATGGAATGTGAAAATCCAGTGAACTCTCCACTATACATGAACACCAGTAACAGTGCCTATACTAGTTGTATTAATAAAACAGTCGAGTCTTCTTCTTCGCAAACCCATTATTATTATTCTTACTTTCTGTTCGGGAACTTGAGAGCGTCGGATGTGGCAGACCTGTGCAGAATAGATGAGATAGTTGCAACTACCTTGTGGTCTCCAACAACAACAGCAAGTTACAACTCTTCCAGTAAATTCATGGAGTTCCACGCACAGTTGGCGTATGGATTTGAGCTTTCATGGGTCCGCAGTCTCTGTAAACAATGCACAGGCTATTGCTTCACTGATCCTACTACCAATTACACGACCGTCACTTGTTTCAACTACTGCGATTCCCAATTCAAGTTCACCTTTCCATGTGCGTAAGATTTTCTGCATTTTTTTTTTCTCAATAAATCTGCTTACACAGAACTGTAAAAATATATGTATTATTGATTGAATTTGATAGTTGTTTATTCTGTTTACAATGATTCATATATAGAAGAGAAGAAGGTCGTAGGTGAAGGGGTAGTGGAGGTGGTAGGTGGAGTGAGTGTTAGTGGAGGTGGTAGGTGGAGTGGGGTATGGTAAATTCTAACAAGAACCATGTGGCTAAATCTGTTTTATGTGTTTGGTTGTGTACTGATTTTGTGTCCATAATCTTCGTTAGCCAAATTACACAAATAGTTGGGATTTGTATCACTTTGATCCTTTACTTTTAATTTTGATATATTTTATCTTGAATTTTAAATCTTATTTTAAATAAGAACAATTGAAGATATTGTTACTCCATTTGAAGGACAAAATCGTTTGTGTTGGTTAACTTATACATTGTTTGAAATATAATGGCATTTATTTTGATGAATAATGTTGAAATTTTTTTGGCTATAAAGTTCTGTTTGGTTTGATTTTTAAAATCTTTTTTCAGAAATTTTTTCTAAGAAACTAAATATTATTTTTATATAATTTTATATAAAAAAATAAAAAAATACATTATTTTTATATAATTTTATCTTTTGGGAAGGTAGAAATAATTTTTTTATATTTATTTTTGTTAAATTAGTTTTTATTTTTTCAAAAGTCAAACATGGTAATAACTTTAATATCATTATTAAATCAATCCATTAAATTAAAAAATCCAAAACTAAAAACATTTATATATTAAACATATCGATTATACATTAAAAGCTTAATAATCATTCATTACACGATAACTATCATAAAATATCTATTAACAACAAATATAACCATATATTACATGGTAACCAAAAAAAAAATATCAACAAAACATTTGCCCATTACATGATTATCATCCAAACACATACTAAAATTAATTTGGTAAAAAAATTAAAAAATAAAAATAAAAATGTAAAAGATTTATCATTTTCATATACTTTGGTGAGTAGAAACAATTTTTAAAATTTTAAAAATAATTTATTTTATTTATATTTAGTTATGACTCAAAAAATTAAAATTGTGCTACTTTATTTTATTTTATTTTATTTTATTTATATTTATATTTAGTTATGACTCAAAAAATTAAAATTATGCTACTTTATTTTATTTTATTTTATTTTATTTATAGTTATAAGGTACCTATAGTGTACACCTTCATAGTGTTTCCGTACTTTTTATCCACATTGAGTTACAAAAGGCAACTATAAAAAAATAATCTATTTACAAAGTGAACCATATTGAGTTGTGCTTGATACTCTTTCATACTATTAAAAATATCTATAATAGAATTGACTTTAAAATCTTGCATAATGTCTTCATCAATGAATTTGATCAATACCTAGCTAATTCCTTATTTTGTTAACTGGAAATAAGACTTGTAATCAATGGTAGTTATATGAAACTAATTTTTTTTATTATATTTTGTCTAATTTTATACTTTGATCCAATGTTTTATAGATACAAAGAGCAGCCACTTAAATTTTAAAAAATATCTAGAAAAGATGACCATTTAAAATTTGTAAATCAAACGAGCCTCTATAATTTGAAGATAATTATAATTAACACTATTATAACAAATGATTTTTTTTGAAATCACAGGGGGCGATCGGCCCCTCTAGGTCCATCATTGCTAGCATGTTATTAATTAGACTAAATTGACACAAACTATAAAATTAAGAGTTAAAATTAAGCTAATTAAAAATATAGAGATCAAAATAATACAAGGACGAATTACACTAACGATTCACGTAGTTTGCGACTTATGTAACTTTGGTTCTTGACCTTTCGAGTAATATATGCCTGTAAAAAATCACGTTGATCTGATATCGATAGCTATCTCATCTTATCAGTTTTTTGTCAACCGTTAATTTGTTCACCGTCCAATTTTTTTTATACAAAACTGATTTGATCACATAGCTATCGATATCCGATGAACGTGATTTTTTATAAGCATAGAGTACTTGACGAGTTCTACATAGTGAACTGTTCGGATTATCAAAACAAGGCCCGTGGTGGGCCCCTACGGGCCGAACAGCACCGTCTAGTCCGATTAAGGACCGGAGGCAAGCTGCTCCCATAGAAAAATCTGCTCAAGGGGTTGTTCAAGGGTGACCCCTCTTCTCCCATGTTTTGCTACTCTTCTTCTCTATTTTCTACAAGAAAAAATTAGATATGATTTTGTGTGTTTTAGATTGATTTCTTTGTTGTTTAAACACACACTTGCGTCCAAAACACCCAACATAAAGTGGTATCAGAGCTAGGTTCGAAGTGGAAGCTTGGATTTGAAAAGAGGGCTAAAAATAGAAGGTGTGTGAAGAAGAAAAGTGGGTTTTGCAGCATGGCTAACTCAAGCAACCAAAGTATAGGTATCCAGCAACCATCTATGCCCATTTTTGCTGGAAAAAATTATGATTATTGGTGTGTGAGGGTGAAGACCTTATTTCAGTCCCAAGGTTTATGGAACTTGGTACAAAATGGGTATGATGAACCCGATTCAACAACTACATTAACTTCAGCACAAGAGCAGCAGCTAGAGGAAACCAAAAAAGAGGATGCTAAAGCACTCTTCTTCATCCAATAAGCACTCTTTGATGAGTTGTTTTCAAGAATCATTGAAGCCAAGAAATCAAAGGAAGCATGTGACATTTTACAACAAGAATTTCAAGGAGACAAAAAGGTAAGAATCATTAAACTCCAAACTCTTAGAAGGGAGTTAGAATATTTGAAGATGAAAGAATCTGAAACTTTAACTGATTATTTCTCTAAACTGATGGAGATTGTCAATCAAATGAAATCATATGGTGAAAGAGTTGAACAAAAGAGAATTGTTGAGAAAATTCTGGTTAGTTTACCAGAAAAATATAACACAATGGTGGGAATAATTGAAGAAACAAAGGATATCTCTGAAATGAGTGTCCAAGAATTAATGGGTTCTTTGAAAGCTCATGAACAAAGGTTGTTAAAACAATCAGAGAAGCCTCTGGAGAGTGCATTCCAATCAAATGTTAATTTGAATTCTAAAAGTCATGGAGAATCATCAAGTAATGAACAAACAAGAGGGGAATCATCAAGAGGTGGTAGACAATAAAGAGGAAGAGGTAGAGGAAGAAATTCATCAAGGGGAAGAGGTAGAAGCAACAATAATAGAAGTTCAAGTATGGAAGAAAATATAAGAAAGTGCAGAATTTGTAAAAAGGGAAATCATTTGTGGAAGGATTGTTGGTTCCGAGGGAAACCACAATGTTATAAATGCAAGAATTTTGGCCACCTCCAAAAGGATTACAAATTCAAGAGCAATCACCAAGCTAATTTTTCAGAGGAGAAAGATAGAGAAGGAAACTTATTTTATGCTTGTCAAGCAGCCTCGGAACACAAAAATGATGTTTGGTACCTTGATAGTGGGTGTAGCAATCATGTGATAGGTGATAAGTCTATTTTCTTGGACATAGACACTTCAATTTGCTCTCAAGTTAAAATGAGAAATGTTTTGTTAGTAAATACAAAGGAAAAAGAAACCATAAGAGTTGAAACAAAGAAGGGGACTAAGTTTATTCATGATGTGTTGCTTGTTCCAAACTTTGAGCAAAATCTGCTAAGTGGTGGATGACTTGTGGAACACGGATATGCAGTCCATTTTGAAGCTAACAACTGCACCATTCATGAAAGAAATGCAAAGCAAGTGGTGGCAAAAATTCAAATGGAAAAAAATTGAAGCTTTCCACTTACATTCAACTATGCTAGAAATGTAGCTTTGAAAGCTCATATGAATGATGAGTCATGGTTGTGGCATAGAAGACTTGGGCATTTGAATTTTCATAGTCTCAAAGTGCTTCACCAAAAGAATATGGTCCAAGGACTTCCAAGTATTGAGGAAATACATGTTGTTTGTGAGGGGTATGCACTTGGGAAGCATCATCGGCAACCTTTTCCTAAAGGAGTTGCTTGAAGAGCCAAAGAAATGTTAGCGTTAGTTCATACATATGTTTGTGGGCCTGTGAGAACTCTCTCCCATGCCCAAAACAAGTACTTTATTCTTTTCATTGATGACTATACAAGGATGACATGGGTGTATTTCATGAGGAAAAGATCCGAGGTGTTCACTATTTTCAAGAGATTCAAGAGCAAGGTGGAAAAGCAAAGTGGGCACTACATAAAGACTTTGAGAAGTGATAATGGCAAAGAATACAACTCTAAGGAGTTTGACAAGTTTTACGAAGATGAAGGTGTAGAAAGGCAACTAACAGTGGGTTATACTCCACAACAAAATGGATTATCTGAAAGAGAGAATGAAACGGTGATGGAAATGGCCAAATCTATGATGCATGAAAAAGGGCTATCAAAGAATTTTTGAGCTGAAGCTGTTTACACAGCAGTGTACTTGATAAATAGGTGTCCTACCAAAGCCGTTTGGAACGAAACTCCCATAGAAGCTTGGAGTGAGAGAAAGCCATCAGTAAATCTCAAAGTATTTGGATGTCTTTGCTATGCTCAAATTCCAAAGGAAAGAAGAAGCAAATTAGATGAAACAAGTGAGAAATGTATCTTTGTCGGATATAACAGCAAATCCAAGGGTTATCGATTGTATAGCTTGAAGAAAAATCAGATAATAATCGGCCGAGATGTGTTATTTGATGAGAATGCTTCATGGAATTGGGAAGAAGGTAAAATTGAGAAGCAATCTGTCCTAGTTGATGAGGAGCAAGAAAATTCAACACATGAAGATGAAAATAATGAAGATTCACATCAATCATCACCAAGGGCAGGTTCATCATCATTTTTCAGCTCTTCTCCAAGTTCAAGCTCAAATTCTAATTCATCCTCACCTAGCTCAACTCCAAAAAAAATGAGGAGTTGGAGTGATGTGTATGCTAGATGCAATTTTTGTGTAGCGGAACCTGGAAGTTTTGAAGAAGCAACTAAAGAGGAAGCTTGGAAGAAAGCAATGGAAGAAGAAATTGAAGTCATTGAGAAGAACAACACATGGGAATTGGTTGAAAGACCACAAGGCAAGGAAATCATTGGGGTGAAGTGGATTCATAAAGTAAAGTTGAATTCGGATGGTTCATTCCAAAGAAATAAGGGAAAGCTGTTCGCAAAAGGGTACACGCAACAGCCTGGAATCGATTTTCAAGAAACATTTGCACCGGTTGCACGACTTGATACCATTCGAGCTCTCATTGCTTTCGCAACCCAAAAAGGTTGGTCATTGTATCAATTTGATGTTAAATCTGCATTTTTAAATGAAGAATTGAAAGAGGAAGTGTATGTTGAACAACCCCAAGGGTTTTTAATGAAAGGAGATGAAGACAAGGTGTATAAATTGAAGAAAGCATTGTATGGGCTAAAGCAAGCTCCAAGAGCATGGTATAGCCAAATTGATTTCTATTTCATCAACATGGGTTTCAAGAAGAGCAAGAGTGAGCCAACCTTATATGTGAAAAATCAAGGTATGCCAATTCTTATTGTTGTGTTGTATGTTGATGATTTGTTATTTTTCGGTAACGATGAGATGGTGATTGAAGAATTTAGAAATGACATGATGGGAAGATATGAAATGAGTGACATGGGTTTGTTGAATCATTTTCTTGGAAGTGAAATCTATCAAGTTGAAGATGGAGTATTTATTTCTAAAAAGAAATATATTGAAAATATTTTAATGAAATTTGGTATGAGTGGTTGTAAGCCCATGGCCACACCACTAGTTGTGAATGAAAAACTTACAAAGGAAGATGGAGAGAAAAAAGTTGATGGTTTGTTGTATAGAAGCTTGGTTGGAAATCCGTTGTATCTTACAGCTACAAGGCCGAATATAATGTGCAAGTTTGCTTTCTAGATTTATGAATAATCCCAGCCAAAATCATCTTGGTGCTGCAAAACAAGTTTTGAGATATATTCAAGGCACAACTAGCTATGGTATCAAGTATTGCAAAGATTCAATTGTGAAATTGTTTGGTTTTTGTGATAGTGATTGGGGTGGCTGCACTGATGATATGAAAGCACCTTTGAGTATGCATTTTCCTTGGGTTCTAGAGTATTTTCTTGGGCATCAAAGAAGCAACAGAGTGTGGTGCAATCATCTGTAGAAGCTGAATATGTTTCAGTTGGTTTGGCAACTTCCCAAGCAATTTGGTTGAGGAGAATACTTGAAGATGTTTGCGAAAAGCAAGAAGATGGTACAAAAATTTTTGTGACAATAAATCAGCCATTGCCATGCCTAAGAATCCTATTTTTCACAGTCGCACTCATCATATTGCAATTAAACATCATTTTATTCGGGAAGCAATTGAAGAAGGTGAAGTGCAGCTCAAATTCTGTAGGTGAGATGAACAAATTGCAGATATATTCACTAAGGCTCTTCCCAAAGAGAAGTTCCAGCATTTCAGAGAGTTACTTGGAGTTATGGAGCAACACATTAAGGGGGAGCAATGTTGATGTAATGTGTTTGTTTAATTTTGTATCAAAATTAAACTCCATTTCGAATCAAAATTTCATAAACTCTTTGGATTTGCACCATAAATCCATGTGGAAATGACCTTGGGATTTCCAAGAATTACCATGCTTGACGATGACATTTTCCTAAACTTGGAAACCCAATTGCAGTTGTTTGTGGGAGAGGTTGTCTTGTGGTTGGCTCCTCACCAACTCATGATTGTGTGCTAGCATATGATTTATAATGATTTTGCATTCATCCTCCTATGTCTTGTATTGATGTAATAGTTTTCTGTTTCATCAATATAGTTCCTTTTCTTTGCTGATCAAAAAAAAAATAATGAGATGCAAAGGATACCTTAGTTTCTTTTTTCCGACTCCACTCATGCCGTCCAAACTTTCAACTTCTAAGTAAACCTATATTATTCCAAATGAAAAAAACAATTATAAAAGCATTTACTATTGTTTTTAAGTGTTGGAAGCTATTTACAATTCAGAACCAACAAAATAGCAAACCTTAATCTAGACCAAGATAAACCAAAGCAAAGAATGTACATCCATAAGAAGAAAAACATGTCCAACAATGACAATGAAATAGAAAAATTACCCGGAGATTGAGGGGACATGTCTCTTGTCCCTATTGAGTCTCAATCCTTTGGAATGATAAGCAATGTGATGAAGAATGGCTTGGCCAGGTGACCAAATTGCTCTAGCCTGTGTGTATATACAAGAACCCCAAGTTACATCAATCTATCAGGCAACTAATTACAAATCAAGAATTAAAACAAACACACCAACATGCAAAAAAATGTTTCATCGATCTCTAAATTATGTTTTTGTTGGATATTCATCTCAGCTCTACTTGTTTCCATGAAAGCATTTTTATATGAAATTACCTTTCTAACTTGGAAAGAGTAAAAACACATTGGTAAATATCTAGAAGAATTAACACGAAAACACCAACATACAAAAAAAAGTTTCATCAATCTCTAAATTATATTTTTTTTTCTGTATACCTGACATGAAACACATTTTGATATGAAATTAACTTTCTAACTCATAAGGAGTAGAAAAGCATTGGTAATCCCTCCATTGGTAAAGCCATGGACTAATTTTATTATTACTTATATATATATATATATATATATAAAGCAAAATCCATTTCCAGCAAAACTTTTAATTCGCCCATGCGGTAAAGGATCTCAATCTATAAAATGATACCAAATAAATAAATACTTAAAAAAAAAACAAAAAAAAAAAACTGGGTTTTCTTTTTTCCTGTAGAACCCTAACCCAATAGTTCTAAGTCTGGGGATTTTTTTTTGCTGTTCAGATCGTGGTTTGGTGACTGGAAATAACCTGAAAAAGCTTCGGATCTTTGATGACTGCTGCTCTACTTTGCAGCGACTAATTTGCTTTTCCTTCACCCTTGTCTCCCTATGTATGAGGCTAGGGCTTTTTGTTTAGGAGTCTCCGATTTATAGGATTTTATGGGTAAGAGAAGGGTAAATTACATTTTGCACCTTTTAATTATACTTATTTATAAACTCATACATATTAATCTATTTAATTATTACCGTATAAATATACTCTTTTTGAAAATGGGTTAGAGGGAGTTTGGGAGAAATGAAAGTGATATATTTTTATAGTTAAAATGATCAAAATATACGGATTTATAATTGAGTGGAGTAAAGTAATATTCTTAGTGTAAAACCTTTCACTTTTCACTCCTATAAATTGACTTAAATTTATTTTAAATTTCTATTGTTTTAATTTGAATAATTTGATTTATACATTTTTAAGTCCATCTTCAATTTGATATTTCTGTTAATTTTCCATATGTGTACACCTTAGTCTATGTTTGGATCATTTTCTTCATTTCCCATCCTATTTTCAAATGCATAATCCAAACATAGCATTACAAGATTGACAAATGTCTTAAAATCATTAATTTCAATGTCTAACTTGAACAAAATGACCAAATTAAAATTAGACTTAAAGTGTAGAAACCAAACTATTTAACTTGAAATAATTCGGACTAAAATGAAAATTAGATCAAATTACAAAGTTGAAGTGTGATTTGATAAAAAGTTCAGAATTTTTGCAATATAGGTAAGCCATTTTAATTCTTGACTCAATTTTATATTAAATTTAAAATTTAGTAAAAATTATACCAAAATACTTTTCCTTCTCGACTCAAATTTATATTAAATTAAATTTATTTAAACTTTTACCCAAACTAAATAAAACTAAAATATTTATTCAGAATTTTTAAAGTCGTAAATTTAAGTTTAAATCTGAGTTTATTTATTGAAATAAGTCATATCAAATAAAATTTTGATTAAAGGTTAGAGATAGTCTTACAAATTTTTATCGTTATGTTATGGATTTTGTGATAAGTAAAAATAAGCTATATATTTTGTGGAGAAAAATGTCATGTCAATTTATGGTTCATGTTGCAACTTTTTATTGTGTATTTACAAATGAGTATGGCATATGTATTCTTTTAAGAGTGTACATAATTACATTTTTCAAGTATTATATGTATCAAAAAAAAATGTATACAGTTATGTATTTAAATTTAAATTATGGTGGTTTATAATTCTCATCAAATTTAAATTAGGGTGGTTTACAATTCTCATCAAATTGGATTATAATGAAATAAAATTGAGTATAATATCAGTTTAACTGTTTTCAAAAATAATTTTTGAGCTTTCAATCCATATTTTTTAGTTTTAGTGATTTTTTAAAATATTTTAATCAATTTGTATTTTTTACTTTTTAGATCTATTTAATATACATACATTTAAAAAGGACAAAATTTGTCAATCTTTTTAAAAATTCACAAATATAAAAAAAAATTTAAAAACTTCAGTACATTTTTTGTATTTATCGATTTTTTTTAGGAAAATTTACCAATAAATCTCATTTCACAAACTATTAAACCAATTAGTCCCAATTTTATTCTTTTGTTCGGATAAGTCCTATCAGTGGGGAAGTTTGTTTCTTGCTGATCCTATTTTCCATATTTAGTGTAACTGTGTGGACGATTTTACCAATTATTGTTATGTTTCCATATTCTGTTGGGGGCCATCAGTGTGATCCCTCACTTCACCATCACTTCACCATCTCCCACATTATAACTCTTCCCCCCCTCCTGTCTGCAAACCCACCCGCGCTTTCTCTCTCTAAAATTCCGTTCCCTCCAAACCCTTCCACACAACAAAAAAGAGTAAACACTTAGAAAATTGAATTATAGAGAGAGAAAATCGAGTTTCGATTAGGGCACCGTCATTATCATTGTCTTCATCGATTCTGAAACCTAGCAATGGGGAAAGACGACGATGAGATGAGAGGAGAGATAGAGGAGAGACTGGTAAACGAAGAGTACAAGATTTGGAAGAAGAACACATCGTTCTTGTACGATTTAGTCATCACTCATGCTCTTGAATGGCCTTCTCTCACTGTTGAGTGGCTTCCCGAGCGGGAAGAGCCGCCGGGGAAGGACTACTCGGTCCAGAAGATGATTTTGGGGACTTACACATCCGAGAATGAGCCTAATTACCACATGCTCGCTCAGGTTCAGCTTCCACTCAAAGATGCAGAGAACGATGCCAGACATTACGATGACGATCGATCTGATTTCGGTGGATTTGGCTGCGCCAATGGCAAGGTACAGTGTGTAATTAATTGTTTCTGTAGCAATTGTTTTTTGAGTTTTAGATTGATGATTTACTTTATGAACTGATGTGAGGAGTGATTGGATTGAGAAATCGAGAATAGTCTAATGCATGTGTGTTGATGTCCCAGTCTGTGCCGTGTGTACTGTGTGCGTTGTGTGTGCTGTGTGTGTGTATCAGTGTGTGTGTGTGTGTTAAAGCCATCAGTGTGTGTGTGTGTGCGTGTTGAAGCCATTAGTGTGTGTGTGTGTGTGTGCGTGTATCAGTGTGGGTGTGTGCGTGTATCAGTGTGTGCGTGTAGATGCATGTGTGTTGATGTCTCAGTTTATGTCGTGTGTACTGTGTGCGTTGTGTGTGTGTATCAGTGTGTGTGTGTGTGGGTGTGTGTTGAAGCCATCAGTATGTGTGTGTGCGTGTATCAGTGTGTGTGTCTGTTATGCACTGGGCGTGTCTTAGAGAGAGGAGAGAGAGCTGGGTTTGGTGTGTGCTGTGTGTGTGTTGTGTGTATGGTGTGTATGAGTGTGGCTGCTGGGTGTGTGTGTTAATGGTGTTTGTGTGCATGGTGTCTTGTGTCTGCTTGAGAGAGAAGATGTGTGTATGGCTGGGTCTCCATGTGAGAGAGAGAGAATGCTGAGAGAGATGAGTGATGTCTAAATGAGGGTAATTACGTCTCTTATAATTTTTCAGGACTAAACGGTTTACTAGAATAAAAATGGGACCAATTGGTTCATAAGTTTACATTTTGGGATTTATTGGTAAATCTCCCTTTTTTTTATAAATACTTTTCATAGATATTTTACTTTTTAAATGCATTTATATTATGTGCATCTAAATTTTTTTTTAAAAATGACTAAAATATGAAAAACTAAAAACTAAAAAAAAAAAATTTAAAAACTCAAAACCAACTGAGTGAATATCAATTTGGATCATAACTAAGTTTATTACAAAATTTACCACTACAAAACCTCATAAGTAAGTGTACCACGTAATTTACAATTAAGGCCACAATCTTTACAATTAACAGTGATTTGTATTATAGATTTTTTTTTTCTTTGAGAAAATTAGGGTAAAAGTTTGGTAATAAAATTTACGAAAAATCTATTAACCTTTAGTACCGAACAGGTTTTGTATACTAATAGGGTATCACATCTATATAATATGGGAGAAAGGTTTTTGAAAATGTCCAAAATGTATATATTTGGTTTTAACGAGCAAGATGAATCCTAAGTACATATACATTTAGATCAATGGTCTATATACATTTAGTGCCCGCCCATTTGAGCTCATCTCTCCCTCTCTCCCACGTCCCCAAACACATTCTCTTCAACTCCCTCTCTCCCACGTTCTCCTGTCACATTGTCTCTCACACTCTCACAAAATAAGCTCACTGCTGCTCATCACCACAGCCATTGAAGAGAAAGACCGAATTTAGCAAAAACCCAACCCTTCGATACCCACCCTCCCTCTTCGCTACTCTGTTCCTCCTTCCCTTACAACCCTTCCAACTCGGCTCCCTTCGCTGTCCATGCTACCGACGCTGCTCTCGCAAGGTAAGATTGAGCCTTTTCACTCGATTTCTGCCTCTCCCCCTTCTCTCTCTATTTTTCTTTTTGACTAATTTCTCTCTCATGGTTGTTCTGATTCAAATAGGTTATTTTAGGGTTTTGTTTACGGGTTATATATATTTGTAATTTCTACCAAATCTGTTCATGTTGTGGTTATCTTCCTCATAGAATGCTCTATTCCAAGCATAAATCGGGGTCTCTCACTCCACTGCAGCCAAGACAACAATACAAGTTGAAAATTTTTCTTTGTTAAGTCGACAGCTCCGAGGTGAAGGAGATTCCAAGATTCAAAGTAAAGAACCCTAATCGTGAGTGAACTAAAACCTTAATTTTTTACTGCTACTAATTGTTTGATTGCTAATGAATAGACTAATGAATTTATTGATTCTATCTTATTTTTTGAATCCATAACTGTAACTCCCATAGCTTCTGTGATAGATTGGGGTAAATAGGTAATTTAATAAGTGGAACATATTTTTAACTCCTATTTTTGTCATTTAATTTCAGCTTCTGTGATAGATTGGGTAAATAGGAATTTAATCAATGGAACATATTTTTAACTCCTACCCAAGGGTCAAAATTCTGACCTGTTGCTGTTTCTGCTTGCAGCCGAGTATCATGGCCTCCCTTTCTTGTTCCTGTACTCTCTGGACTATAGCTTCTACATCCAATGTTGAGAATTTAATCAGAGCCAAGGATGTGGCTTCTTGCTTTTCACTTCTTTGCCTATAACCAGGCATCATTGTCATCCTTTAGAACGACCTCTTCATCAGCACTTTCTTGGACTAAATGCTTCAAGTGTGTCACTTCCTCATCAGCCGTCACTTCGGCTGAACCGTCATCTTCCATCAGTATACTGAGCGGTGTCACTCCCTCAATATACAATTTAGCCTCCGCAAAGTCTGCACAGGCTATGAAGGGTTGAGGATCTGCATCGATTTCCTCTGTCTCTCCATTGCCTAAAGCCATCATGATGGTTGTGCTGGTTGGTATCAACCTAGGATTCTTTTTTCCTAGTTTCTTCAAAGAAGATTTCGGCAACAAGTTTACTGCTGCCCCATTGTCTATTAGGACTCGATTCAGTTGTATCCCATCGAAGAAAGCCTTGATGTACAAAGGCTTAACATGTTGTGTCATGGAATTCGAGGGATACTCGAATGGATACGATAGGTTGATGCTTACCACTTCCTCGCTCTCATATTCATCTTCCATCGGGGTAACCATTTCGAAATTATCTTGCACCATAC